CTTCTTGCCCAGGTGGTTTAACTGTAGACACCTAAGAGAGACAGGGATGAAATGGCAAAGGAGGCTTAGACAAGACAGTTGCTATGTTGAACTTGAGTATCAGTGGCATTATAAGATAAACAGATAATTATTTAAGGACACTTAAGTCTTACTGCGAAGAATGTCTCTATAGGCTGTTTTCACTTTTATTAAGACTCTTCTAAGCGTCTTATTTGCCCTGGAAGTGGGAGCACGCATGCAATATATAAGCTCATACCATGGATGTCAATTTAAGTTACGTTGAAACCATAAGCTAAGTAGGCTAAATTATTGGCTTATAACTCATACAGAGTGCTCAAATGGGTACATATGAAAGAACGGTAAAGCAAAATCTATAAAAAGAAACAGGAATCATTGCATTTTCGTGTTGATTATAAAACCTGAAAATATTTCCAAACAAACTTTGAAGAGACGAGTCATTTAAAAAAAAAAAAGCTTCTAGTTTTAATCATCTTGCAAATAAATGTGGCAAGTGGAACCTTAATAAAACAGTTGTGAGCACTCAGTTCTGTGCTTGGACACCTATGACAATCAAAAGAAGCTCTCAGAGCTTTGAAGTTCATCTTTCAATAGGCTACTTTTCCATTGGGAAAGAGATTATTATGTGATGTTATGTCATCTTCCAAAACATCAAGTTATGCAGAATATAAGCATCTTAATAGTCTATGTGCATTGGAAGTTGTAAGTCATAGCATACCAACTAGAAGCTTACAGTAATTTCACATGCGTGACAATAGCTGAAGACTGCTTGCGGCAAAAGAATCAACGGGAAAAACTGTAAGAAAATAGAGAAAAATAACTGTCAAACAACCCCAGCACAAGTTTTAGCCATCTGTCACATATTACTACTTTTGACGTATCAGGCACCAACAAGAATTTGCAAAGATTTACTCATATGCATGGGCAGAATAGTTTATTTGGCCATTATCTATGATAAAGCTGAAACCGCTGTTAGATTAAAAAATGCAATTTCTGAACTGTTTGCAGTGCTCTGAAGTCTAATAATTTCAATATTAAAAACAATGTGGCCATTTAACAGATAGCTTTAAATATATTTATAAACAAACATTGGCAGACACTTGTACTGTTATTAGCCTGCTGCTCAGTTTTCCTGAGTCATAACTAGTGGTGATGTAAATCAGTAACACTCCATATCACAAACCATAACCCATGTGGTTTGTTTGACATTCGGTCAAAGTTTGTTTGAAAGGCTCTCTCTAAGAATTCTTTGACAAAAGTAATTCAAGTTGGAAGTTTATAATAGCAGGAGGCTTGAAAAGCCTGCCAAGTTTTGTGTGAGTATTTTAAGAAATTCTTCTTTTAAATAAACCTCTATGCATGTGATCTTGTTGGTAGACATACGTTACGATACCTTTTGTAACTCTGTGTGCCGAGCAACACAAGAGTTATTATTTCAAGAGAAATATATTCAGAGGTATATAGCATGACACAATAAAGCCACATCCCCCAAGCTCCTTCCAATGAGAATTCTAGCTCTTTCAGTTGTGTACAGCCCAAGAGCATCCTAGGCCCAGTTTTCATCTGCAGCACCACACATGGCATGGCAAATTTTTTTCAGGTACTTTCTATCTAAATGGAAATGCCACATTCTACATTCAACAATACAAAGCCCCTGACATTCTGAAGGAGGTTACTTCAACGCTGTTTGGAACAAACCTGTTTGCTGGGAGGCAGGAACATCTCACAGTGACGCTGCGGCACTTGTTGAAGGTTTCCAATCCATCTCTGGCTTTACTTGCAGAAAACGTTGTTTGGGTGGAAGAGGTCCAAAGGAGAATAAGCACACACAGCAGTTGCAACTTGGTGTTCTGTAGAAAGTTATAAACATTACTGACTTTCAATGTTTTTCCAAAGGAGGCTACATAAAACCTATTTGCACATAACAAATAAGTCATGACAACAGCAAAGGAGGCTGAGGATGAAACTGCTGCAGAAGTGAAGCTAAACATTCTTGACACAGGAAGGACATGGACCAGTTAGAACAAGTCCACTGGAAGGCTATGAAGATGATCAGAGGGTTGGAGCACCTCTCCTATGAAGACAGGCTGAGAGAGCTGGGGTTGCTCAGCCTGGAGAAGGCTCCAGGACAGCCCAACAGTAGCCTTCCAGTACCTAAAAGGGGCCTACAAGAGAGATGGGGAGAGACTCTTTATCACGGAATGAAGTGATAGGATGCGGGGGGATGGTTTTAAATTGGAAGAGGGGAGATTTAGATTAGATATTAGGAAGAAATTCCTTCCTGTGAGGGTGGTGAGAGCCTGGCCCAGGTTGCCCAGAGAAGCTGTGGCTGCCCCATCCCTGGAGGGGTTCGAGGCCAGGCTGGATGGGGCTTGGAGCAACCTGGGCTGGTGGGAGGTGTCCCTGCCCAGGGCAGGGGGGCTAGAACAAGATGACCTTTAAGGTCCCTTCCAACTCTAACCATTCTATGATTCACTGGCAGAGATGCACTTTTTGGCAAAAGACATTCTTCTAGACTGAGTGCAGGAACTTGGATATTTCCCTCTGTTTTTCTGTTAGCTCACGGGGGAAGGGAGTTGTGCGAAGTTTATGATACTCTTCACAAGTTTTATAGACTATTCAATTACTAAGTGCCTAACAATGCTGTTTGTAAAAACATCATTGCATGAATTCCTTATCACTTACATAAGATATAGCAAAATATTTCTTCTGAATCCACATTGAGTTTTGTGCAAAACATTTCTAAACATTTTAAAAATCAAGGGGGTAAAAAAGGAGTGAAAATTGTTAAGTTAGTTGCTTTCCTTAGCAAAAAATAACCCCCAACCTCTGTGTGTGTGCTTAATACAGTGCAGATGTACTGGACATACAGGAGTCACACACACACAAAAAAAATCTGTTTAGCAGAGATATACAATAATGTGTTCCACATCTGAGATTTTCTAGGTCTTAAATTAGTTTTGTTAAATGGCTCCAGCAAAAGAAGCTGCCACATATCAAGCTACTTAAGAACACATGCTTGCTCTCAGGGCAAGAGTGATGGCCCTGCGGCTAGATTGAGTGCTGGGAGGACCACAAACCAGGATTTGATTTCTGATCCCGGAGTTACCTCAAATAAATTAGTCCCTTCACCCCTCAGGGCAGCTTTCCCGCTGCAGACAGAAGTCATCTCTGTTGCCACATGTTTTCAATACACGGGGGTTCAACGCCGAGCAGAGGCTTCCCCTGCCACTCCCGGCCAACACACCAGCCGTGTTCGGGGAGCGGCTCCTCCACGGCAGAGCTCCCGCCCCGGCGGAGCCCGCTCCGGGGATATTTCTCGGCTGGGGACGGGACGGGACGCCAGCGTCCCCGGCGGGCACTTGACCCGGGGCGGGGCGGGGGGGGACATAAGGCGTAGCGAGCACCGGATCCCGGCCCTTCACCCTGAAGAGCGGCGACAGGCAGAGCCCAGCTCTTCCCCCGGCAGCGCAAGACCGGAGAAGGCGAAAACTCGCCGTGCAGCTGCCAGCTCCGCACGGGCGGGGCGGGGGGGGACAAGGCGTAGCGAGCAGAGCAGCAGCACCGGATCCCGGCCCTTCACCCTGGAGAGCGGCGACAGGCAGAGCCCAGCTCTTCCCCCGGCAGCGCAAGACCGGAGAAGGCGAAAACTCGCCGTGCAGCTGCCAGCTCCGCACCGGCGGGGCGGGGCGGGGCGAGGCGGGGCGGGACAGGGCATCCCATCCCATCCCACCCCACCCCCGGCCCTGCCCCGCCGAGGGACGCGGACACCGGCGGGGGAAGGAGAAGGGGAGCGGCGAGGAGCGCGGCTGCTGCCGTCCCGTACGAGCCCCGCACCGCCCAGCCCAGCCCAGCCCGGGCTCCCTGCGACAGCCCGGCCCCGCTCGGCTCCGCGCTGCGCCGGTGAGTGACCACCCGCGGACGGGGAAGAGAGGGAGCTGGGGAGAGGAGGGGAGCGGTGGGGAGGCAGAGGGGACCCCCCTCGGCAGAGAGCGCTGAGCGCTGGAGGAGAAGAAAAGGACACTAAAGCAACGCACATCGCTTATAACAACCCTTCCTCCTCCGCGGTACTTCAGAACACTTTGCAGAAGTTGGCTGCTCCTGCCCCGACCCACCCGTCTGTGTTGTTTTCACCCTCGGCACAGGCGGGGGTGGCAGAGGGGACCGCGGGGTGAGCGGAGCAAAGAGCCTCTCGGCACTGGGCCCAAGTCCCACGAAGCTGATTTTGGTTTTTTCCTCAAGGAAAAAAAGAAAAAGGCGCAGCAATGCAATGTAACCCCGCTCAGCCAGCTGTCTGCCCCAGAGCAGGCTTGTGCTAGCTGCAGACACTGCAGTGACAAAGGGTGCCCCATCAAGGGGCTGCCCGTGGCAAGGAGCCCCGGCCACTACGTGCCAGCAGGGGAAAGAGCCTAAAGATGATGTTCTGAGGAGGGGAAGGAAGGGAAAGGGAGGGAAACAGATGGATAAAATCCAGATTCCCCGTTATACTTAATGGTCACACTGACTACTCAAACGAAGAAGGTTAGGGTGGGTTTCTGTCCAGCCGCAAAATATTTATGCCCTTATTTTAAGCATCTTTCCTTTGGCAAACGATAAGTATCCATTGAAGGGTACATGGCCGAGAAAAGGAGGGAGGGGTTGTTTCCTTGTTTTAAGGAAGAAATGGGCATTTCTTAAGGAAGAAATCAGGCAATCTGCTTTTAACCCTCGTCTCTTTCGGAAGGCAGTCGTACTTTTGCAGGTGGGGAAAAATGTTAGATGCATGAGTTTCCATAGAGATCTTGTGGCGTTTCTCAAATGCGTAAGAGTCCGCTACGTCCTGAGGGGGACAATAGGAGTGGGGATGTAACCTGCTCTGTGCTGTGGGCAATTCTTCCCGTAGCCTCCCCAGCCTTTGCTTTTCAGACAGTGAGCAGGAATGATGGAGAGGAATCAGGCTTCTGGGAAAAGCTCCTTCTAAACTGTTTACTTTCAAGGCACCAGGCTCTCTAGCTGTGAGAGCACTTAAGCTGCACCTGTTCATCTTAGCCAGCTGTTTAACTCGACAAGCAACGTGAAAACTGCTTGGAGAAAGGTAGGAAGTTGTTTCAGATAAATATGTATTAAAAAAAAAAAAAAAAAAGGTAATACTTTGGGCATTCAATGGGTTATTGCTAAAATATGGAGGAACTCATCATATTACTCCAGTAAGGTTACCAGATGTTTAAAGAGACTGATAACTCAATATATATTCCAAATTAGAAACAAAACCAAATTTGTTTTGTACATTAATATATCTAAGTGAGCTGAAACCAAACCTTTCAGTAACGGGGTTTACTTTTATTAGCAGTGCAAGGAGATAGTAAGTCCTCACACCCACTAGGATTTCTGAAGTTGTGCATTTTTCTGATGAAGTTTTTCTTATAGCTTAAAAGTACCAAAGGTTCACTTGGGTTGAACTTCCAGTTCATTTTGGTTAATCCCTGAAGAAATTTCATATTGATCAGCACTTCAGTATCTTGGGGGGAGGGAAGGGAGGAGGGAAGGAATTCACAATATTAATCTGATTTTCTTTGACCCTAAAAGGTTCAATCAGTTGTATAAAATGTTAAAAATACTTTATTAGGATCTATTAAAAAAAAAGACACAGAGTAGTATCAGGATGAGATTTTCTATTATGAATTGCAATATTGGTATGATCATGAACCAGTCTGTGCTTATCCTGACCAGACACAAATTCTGGGAAACGGGGAGTTCTAAGATTATTTTTTTTTCCCTTCTTGTGAAGAATAGCAACATTGGATTCTTCAATATCTATACTCAAAGCTGAGTATAGCTAAAATATACTCATCTTGGGGGATGCGGACCTGAATGCGAACAGGAAGTTTACTCCACATCTAGTATTTCCTCAAAATTCAGAGAAGTTATTCATAGATGTGTTCATCAGGCTTCACAAGTGCCTAACGTATTCTCTATTGGACAATGGAAGCTTCTGTTATCCAAACCCAGTTCTTTCTATTGGAAACCATTAAACTGCATAGCAATTAGCAGTGTTGGGGTATAAAATCTCAACATTTAAAGGACTAACAACTCTTACATACAGTAAAGTGGAAGTGTTCAAGGCCAGGCTTGACAGGGCTTTGAGCAACCTGCTGTACTGGGAGGTGACCCTGCCCAGGGCAGGGGGGTTGGACCTCAATGATCTTTAAGGTTCCTTCCAATTCTAACCATTTTAGGATTATTTATTATTTTTTTGGCTAGTGATTCTCCAGATTCACTGAGTCACAAAACAGACAGACCTTGATATTTAAATGACAGGTTGAATTACGTTTTAAAATGTTAACTGCATTTCTGATGCAGAAAGATTAAAACCAGCTAATTTTAGTTTGTCAAGGGTTGGAGCATGCAGTAACATGAGGTAGAATCCAAAAAACTCTAAAGATTTTTTTGTTGTCCCTGTATGAAAAATGTCCTGTCTCAGTGAATTGGATTAATGGACTGCAGTAACAGAACAGATCCCCAGTCAAACGGCACCACAAAACTGGAAATTTCCCCTCATTTATAACAGATTTTACAGCTAGTGGTTTTGTTTACTAGACTGAAGCATAAAAGAGTTTATGTTACAACAGTTATTTAATGGGTCTAACACCTATAGCACAAATCTCTTTTTACAGCTAGGTAACAGAGTAGAGAAGATAAGGCTTCTCCAGCACTGCACTACTTAATGACCATAACACTTAAATATTGGTTTTTAAGAGATCACATTGATAATGAACTAGATGATGCTGATGATGTTTAGGCTAGCAGGGAAAATTAATACCATATCTGGAAGCTTTAAGAATCCAGTCATCATAGGGTTTTTCCCCCTATCTCTGGGCAACAATTACCCATATATGGGAAATACTACCACAGGAACAAGACCTGTTTATTGCCATGGAAAAACTGACATTCAGTATGACTTTAACCGGAAAGCTGAGACACTAAAAGTAGAGTTAAATAGAAGTCTGAACTTACATCTTGAAGGTCAGAACATTCTTTGGAATGTGTCCATTTTCTGTTAGCTCTTTTGGTTTTAATGCTCATGAAATATAGGCCCAGTATATAGGCCCAATATATAGGCCCAGAGTTTTTCTACAGAGGGGTCTGGATAGACTGGATCAATGGGCTGAGGCCAATTGGCCTTGTTTGTTGAATCTCATACGAGTGCACTTGGGTCACAACAACCCCATGCAATGCTATAGGCTGGGAGAAGAGTGTCTGGAGAGCTGTGTGGTGGAACAGGACCCCAGGCTGTTGGTTGACAGCCGGCTGAACATGAGCCAGCAGTGTGCCCAGGTGGCCAAGAAGGCCAACAGCACCCTGGCCTGTGTGAGGAACAGTGTGGCCAGCAGGACTAGAGCAGTGACCATCCTCCTGTACTAGGCACTGGTGAGGCCCCACCTTGAGGGCTGTGTCCACTTCTGGGCCCCTTACGACAACAAAAACATTGAGGTGCTGGAGCAAGTCCAGAGAAGGGCAAGGATGCTAGTGAGGGGTCTGGAGCACAAGTCTTGTGAGGAGAGGCTGAAGGAGCTGGGGGTGTTCAGCCTGGAGAAAAGGAGGCTGAGGGGAGACCACCTCGCTCTCTCCAACTCCCTGAAAGGAGGGGGTAGCCAGGGGGGATCGGTCTCTTCTCCCAAGTCACAGGTGATAGGACAAAAAGAAACAGTCTCACGTTGCACCAGGGGGGGTTCAGATTGGACATTAGGAAAAAATTCTTCACTGAAAGGGTTATCAGATATTGGAACAGGCTGCCCAGGGAAGTGGTGGAGTCACCATCCCGGGATGTAACTAAAAGCCAGGCAGACACAGTGCTGAGGGACATGGGTCACTGCTGGTTTTGGCAGTGTTTAAGCTGATGGTTGGACTTGATGATCTTAAAGGTCGTTTCCAACCTAGACAATTCTATGATTCAATGAAACATACTGAAACTACATTTTCAGACTATTTTGGTTTAGGTGACACAGTTGGAAGTTTAAACCTGTTATTTTAAGATCTCTTCCTACTACTATTCACTCTACTAAGGACACTGAATATAAAAACACTCTCTGCTGCAGGTCTATATTCCTGAGCATTGATTAGAGCTGTCAATGATACACAATCACAGATTCAGAATCACAAAAGGGCAGGGGTTGAAAAAGACCTCTTAGAGATCATCCAGTCCAACCCCCCTGCCAAAGCAGGGTCACCCAGAACAGGCTGGACAGGAATGCATCCAGGCAGATTTGGAATACCTCCAGAGAAGGAGACTCCACCACCTCTCTGGGCAGCTTGTTCCAGTGGTCTGGCACCCTCAAGTAAAGAAGTTTCCCCTCATGTTGAGATGGAATTTCCTGTGTTCCAGTTTGTGCCTGTTGCCCCTTGTCATGTCACCAGGCACCACTGAGAGTCTGGCCCCATCCTCTTGACACCTACCCTTTAGATATTGCTCAGCATTGATGAGATCCCCCTCTCGGTCTTCTCCAGGCTAAACAGACCGAGGTCTCAGCCTTTCCTTATCAGAGAGGTGCTCCAGTTGCCTAATCATCTTCATAGCCTCCACTGGACTCTCTCCTGTAGTTCCTTGTCTTTCTTGAACTGGGGAGCCCAGCCCTGGACACAGAACTCCAGATGTGGCCTCACCAGGGCAGAGTAGAGGGTGACAATGACCTCTACCTGCTGGCCACACTCCTGGCACGCCAGGAGACCATTTGCTTTCTTGGCCACAAGGGCACGTTTGTGGGCTGAGGGGGACGATGACCTCTACCTGCTGGCCACACTCCTGGCACCCCAGGAGACCATTTGCTTTCTTGGCCACAAGGGCACCTTTGTGGGCTTCCTCACCTCCTTCTTTTCAGTTCAGTAGCTTTGTTTCTTTTTCCTCTTCCTAAATTGTTTTCAGAATGTTCTTTAACAAACAGCACAGAAGTTAGTGCATTCACTGGTTCTGATGACAATAATGAGCCTGCAACTGTGTTCCTGCAAATTAAGGCTCTCTAGCTCATGAACCACGTCCAGACACTTTTTTCTTCTTAAATAACAAGTAGTGTTAGCCAAGAACCTAGCCAAGGTTCTGTCAGAAGTTGAATGACAAGGGATATTTAAGAATTTCCCTGATACTATTCCTGTAGCTCTCCTATTAATGATACAGGCCAGCTATTAAGTTCCCCTTCCTCCAGAAGAAAGGGGCGAGGGAGGATCAGGAAAGAGCTAATAAAGCTCAGGGAAGCTGAAGTAGAGGACTGGAAAAGAACATCACTGCTTTGGCACAAAGTGGGATGTATTGAAATGCACAGGAAAATAACTTGCTTATACTCTTTCTTTGCTTTCCATGCCTGCTTTCAGCTACTTATTTATGTCTCCAGGAGTTGCAAGATACAGTTGAAGATGCATCAGTATTGGAACGATGAAAATTCAAATAAGCAGAATGTGATCTGGAGTATACAAACTCCAGTGTAGAGGTATTGAAGACATAGATGCTCTGTCCTTAATTATGCATGGAAAAATAATGCTCTCAAAGAGTCAATTCTCAGTCTAAAACAGGAACGTTAAGAACTCAGAACAATGTCATGAATTAATAGATAATGTGTAAGCCTGCAGAACTCTAATTCACTTAGACTTTCAGCACTATTTGTGAGTTCTAAAGAGAAGAAACAGAAAAAGGATGACACACAGGGAAACTTGGTACCATAAATACACAAGGGAAAAACAATTTTGAAGGGACTTATGCATAAACAGTATGTGAAGTCTATGAGTAGTAATGATAAACTGTTTATAGATAAGAGCATACCCAGAGTAAGACTGCATGCCACAAATGGTAACCGTTCTTTAATGAAGAAAATATTATTAAAAATATCTTTCCCCTTTACTACTGTTCACTAACCTTTGATTAGTTATATACACTTTAGGAGAGTGTTTCCAGTCCTAACCACTCTATACCAAATTAAACTTCACAGGAATGAATTCAATTTTGGTGTTTAGCTTCCTGTCTTGCCATGACCTCTTCATATTTAAAGTATCACTTAGCATTGAACTGTATGCTCATCTATGCAAATTAATTAGGGCATACTCACTCAT